TCAGCTGTGTTATTCAGATACCTCACCCCCGACACCAAGCCACAACAATGCCGGTCTCCACTTTGCACGATCATAAGACACCATGCCTCCGGCACCTGCACCCCCCCTCCTACTCCTCAGTCCAAATTTTCAGGACTGTCCAGTACTACACTTACTTTTTGTAAGGGAGCGTAATTGCAAAACTAACGTAAGTGAAATGGGCATATTGCCACCTCTTAACCTGACACAGGAAAACTCTGCCTTAACCCTTTAAAACTCTGCACTCTTAACCCTATCCCAGTTGGCCCGATCTGGCTCAAGGTATTCCGTGGGCCATAAAAATCCCGGTCGCTGGCCCCAAAGAAGCCCCACTTTGGCCTGATCAGGCCCTGGAAGTGACTGTGGAAACACGACTGGTCCTGGCTCGCTCGCTTTAGGCGCGCAGGGCCGGCACGTCCATAGAGGTGACCTAGGCAGCCGCCTAGGGCGGCGGAATAGAAAGGGCAGCGTCCCAGACACTATACCCTCACCACGTGCACCCTCAGATATATTCGTGTCTAGGGCGGCAAAATAAAGAGGGAGGAGTCCTTGACACTACCCTTACCACCTGCGCCCTCAGTTATATCTGCGTCTTGGGCGGCAGAATAGAGAGGGCGGTGTCCGCGACACTACCCTCACCACCTGCGCCCTCAGCTTTATCCATGTCTAGGTGCCTCCACCCTGCTTTCACTTTAGGGTTGAGGGCGGCATGACCGTCCTTTGCCTAGAGTGGCAGTTTAGCTTGCTCCCACCCTGTAGGCACGATAGTGGAAACATGGCAATTGTCAGCTTTAACAAAACTTGGCTGATTAGAGTTTGTCATGCTAATAGAGTTAGACTTGCGTTTTCTGTACAAGTTCAAGAAATATAAGCAGAACAATGTGAAATTGCTGACAGCAGATCATTTAAACAAGCTTGCTACCTGAAAGTGCTGAAGGACTTGGCCAAGCCTAATTGATGACTCTGCTGACTTCTCTAATACCGTCAATATTGTACACTTTAATAGTATTCTGCTTTTTAAAGGAAAGTGCAGGGTTCAATCGAAGGCTGGAATATATCACATTTAAGATTACCTGACAAAATCATTCAGGCTTGTCTCATTGCAGCAAAACCTGTGGTTAGACTGTACAATAAAGTGGTAGTTCCTTGTCATGTCAAACAATGAGAACTGCTTCATGAATAAGACAAGTAGGTGTTGGATTTCTGCCACGCCAGGGAGCCCCAGAGACAAGTCGTCATTATTGAGTTGGAGAATGTGGAGGTGGAAACACCTGGGAATCCTAAACAGGACTGAACAGACAGCTCAGCCTCACAGATTCTGCTTCCTGAGGAAACTTGCGACCTTACCGCCATTCTGTACCAGTGACACAAAGCAACAAGCAACCATTCATTTCAATGGAGAGACAGAGACTTTCAGTGATCTCCAGCCACATTGGCATCTGCGACTGTTGGTTACCATATGTGTACATGTCCACAAATTAAATAAAAGTTACAAATCCTTAAATTTTATGCAAATGAGGAGCGATTTAACAGCCAATAGGAGTATCAGGGGATCATCTCTTAGCTCCTCCACTAGCTAGTTGTATTCTCTGGGCTGCAGATCTGCCGCAATAGTTGCAATGACTGTTATATTGTACTCATGAGGGCGTTAAGTTCCCAATCCAAATTTTGATTGAATTTGGAAGCTGACATACAGAATTTGGTTTCAAACGTTTTCTGTGTAAGAGACACATCTCAATGCTATTAATATTGAACACTTTAAACGACAGTAATGTGGCCGCATCTTTACAGTGAATCGATTCATTCTCGTGTTGTTTGTCCTGATGCAGGAGGGCACTGGCGATGGATGGAACTTGTACTGGTGAACATGGGATCGGTCTTGGAAAACGGGCCCTACTCAGGGAAGAGGTTGGTCCACTGGCCATCGAGGTCATGAAGGGCCTCAAGGCCTCCCTAGACCCCAGAAACCTGATGAATCCTGGAAAGGTATTGGAATTAACACAAACCAACACAGAACAATAAGAGGATACTTTGGATTACACTTTCTGAGCACTGGAGGTCAGAAGATTTAGACTGATCTGCATGGAAAATGTAATTCATTCAAGATTCATACAAATGATTTGTGATTTAGTATTATTGTGAAAACAGTATTAATGTAAAGGGATTATTTTTAATTTTTCACTGCAATCTCACTATAGATGTCTCACTATTTAGTGTGTCGCTGATTATATTTATTTTTTGGAATATATTTGCTTTGGTAGAACAAAATTTCTGAATAAGCTAAGGTCTGATAAGCTAAATTTGATAAAGAAAATAAAAACTGTAACTGAAAATTGTTTAATTTTTTCTGGTTTGTTTTGAAATGAGTCTTTTTGATTGAGGGTATGTTACACAACAATAAACTGAAAAACAACAGCATTTTAGAGGTATAAATCACCCCAAAATTCAAATTTACTTACTATTTACTTGCTCTAAAGTGGTTCCAAACCTTTAGAAGTTTCTACAGTATATTATGTTAAGCACAAAAGAAGATATTCTAAAGAAAGCTGGAAACCCGCAACCGTTGACTAGGAAAAACAAATGGAAGTCAATGGTTACAGGATTCCAGCTTTCTCCAAATGTCTTCTTTTCTGTTCAACAGAATTCAGACGGGTTTGGAACAAGTAAAGGGTGAGTAAATGATTACAAACCTTTCAGTTTTGGGTGAACTATCTTTTTAAATGTTCTCAGTTCACGCAACAGAAAATCTGCAAAACAAAATCTGTAATATGCCCTTTAGGCCAGTAGATGGCGATGTCACTTTTTAATAGGAACACTATGCACCTCTAGATCTACAGTCCTGTAGTCTGCCATTCGTTTTTTGGTTTCCAGATACACACATATCCCTACAGATTAAAGTGTGCCACATGCCTTCTTTTAAGTGAAGCTCCCAGCTGTTAGATCGCCCCCTGGGGGCTGGCTGTAGTACAAGTTATAAAGCCCGCCTTCTCCGTGTTAATTAACAAGACATGGGCACAAAAAAACAATTGATTGCACGTGCAATAAAATGTCCCGAAAGATGGTTTTGGTCAATTAAGGCACTGGTTATCACGCTGATAGAGGCTCAGATCTTCATTTTTGTAAACAGTTAGTTTTTTTGCCAGTGATTTAATGCTATAAAAACAGGGCGTGTCATCGTGATTGACAGTTGAGATTGACAGCAGACTGTCAGAGTTTCGGGAGGAGATTGAAGTACCATTTTTGATTTCTGTGTTATTTTACCATGATTAAATGAGTTGCTCAGCAGTAAACTGTACTTTCTGAGCTGCAGGATCTGATGGATGACTGTTTATTCGATTAAATGTGGGCTGTTTTTTGCTAATACACACCAACCTATATCATTTCAGGGAAAATGGGTGATCGTTATCTAGCAGTAATTCTCTGAAATAATAATTAGGAATATAAAACTAATGTTAGTCTACCTCCACATTGATCTCCTGTAACGTTATTTGAACTTGATTTAAAGGATGTCAATGACATTTTGAGTTTTTCGTCAAGTTATCGAGTTAATCAAGTGAATTTGCCGTTTTAAAATATTAAGCATTCTAGAAAGAGAATCTTATATCTTATATAACAAATAGAGCTGTAAATTTTATATCATTTATATACACCATTTATCGTTGGCTTTTTATTTTAAAACTCCTAATAAACATTCAAATGAATTTAAATTCCCCTTTGCCAGATATAATGAAGGAATTGAATAAGCCAAATGAAAACAGAGACAAAGAAAAACTTGATTAACAATATACAAGTGATGTTGCAGCAGCTGATAGACATCCTCAACAGTTCATGTGTTAATACTGAAGTTTATTGCACAAATTGAGAAGGATTGGGCATATTTTATATAGTGCTGGGAGAGGTAAATATCCTGTTGATATTTAGAAATCATTTTTCTGTATCTTTTGCTAACAAAAACGCATGATTTTTCCCACATGGCAAAATAGCTCTCCATGATGTGCATATTTGGGTCGTGTTAATTGTTAATAAAAAAAAAAAACCTTTCTAAAAATGTATGGGTTATTTATATGTTCTAGTTCATATTTTACAAATGTTATTTCTGCCCTTATGAAGATAATAAATACCAACAACCCGTATGAGAAATACATTTTTGTGCTCATAGCTAAGTCTAGTAACTCAGACTAGAGTGTAGAAAAGATTGTTTATTTTTGCAGTCCAACATATATAGTTTGCGTTTCTGTGTGGAGTTTGCATGTTCTCCCTGTGTTCGCGTGGGTTTCCTCTGGTTGCTCCGGTTTCCCCCACAGTCCAAAGACTTGCGGTATAGGTGAATTGGGTAGACTAAATTGTCTTTAGTGTGTATGTGGACGTTTCCCAGAGATGGGTTGCAGCTGGAAGGGCATCCGCTGGGTAAAAACGTGCTGGATAAATTGGCGGTTCATTCCGCTGTGGCGACCACGGATTAATAAAGGGACTAAGCTGACAAGAAAATGAATTAATGAATAAACATCACAAAATTTTGAATAAATCGTATATTATTACATGTTTTTAAATGTGTTTATATTTATATTAGCGAGCCTTTGTTATGGTGCAGATACCGGTGGTCAAATGAGAGGTTTGTACATGCGTCTGGCTGGAAGCTTGATTCCGCGGCTCCGCCTCTGGCTCCATCAGGTAGTCCTTCTGCGCATGCCCAGGCTCCAATTTCAGCAGTTTTTTGTGACAGTTTGTGCCGTCAAGCATTTTGCATTCAATGGGAAAAGGCACTGTCATTGGATTAAACATATCACAATTTTCACAAAATATAGCTTTGTATTTATTTATTTATTTAAGTTAAAAAAAACCTTTGCTGAATAAATTAACAACCAAAATGCATCAAGTTTTCCCTTTTTTGTTTGAAACCATGTTGTCTAAACGCCCTGCTAAATTTGATCTGTTCGTGTATTTGCAGTGTACCGATTAAAAAAAGAAAGCAACATCTGATCTCATTTCATCTTGTTTTAATTATATATATGTTCATCATCATTATTACTCATCCCACAGATTGCACATCAAAATCATCAGACACTTAGTTTGTACCTCCTAAAAACAGGCATCCGTTCATGTCCTTGGAAGAAAAAGAAATGAAAAAACAGAGAAAATAAGATGCCAAAATAATAAAAAGATGGGTTTCGAGAGTGCCGAGTCACTTTCCTCAGCTTACGCCGCATGAGATAGTACTACGCTACCTGACTCTGTTTATTATTTGATTTGTTTTACACGGTGAGGCGAAATTGTTATCCACTGTTCTGATGGATGCTGTTTGTATGCCCTCATTTACAGGCACAAAGCTGGAAAAAAAACACCTCAGAAATGCTCTATTTCTATCCCACACAAAAGTAATAGGTTGTCAGATATCATCTTGCGGTTATTTTTTCCTACTATTTTTATTTTTCTCCTTTTAAAATTTTTTTTTTTTTTACAATTTCAGCAACATTATTTTCTAACAGTGCTTGCTGCATGTTTATACAGTAGACATAGGCATCCTGAAGGTTAAATAGACTTCTTGTGAGGGTTTCTCACAGAGTTTTTCCCAAAATAAAAAGTAAATGCAGATCATAGAAATGATCTTGTAATAGATTCACACCAGTATATCTGGGCTTTACATACAGTAGTGAAGCAACATTAGCTTACCAGACTCAAGCTGGTCGGTCACGTACAGAAAACATGGGAAAGATGGACAGAAGCTGTAATCGCACACACACACACACACACACACACGCGCACACACACATACACCAAATACGTACTCAAGGCTTTTACAGGGAAGCTCTCCGAATATTACGATCGGTGCTCGCCCAGAATATTCCGATAAACTAGGAAAATAGCTTTGAGCTTCTTATCATTTGCAGGGGGGGAAAGACATCTACTGTGAATTGTAAACATTTGAAGACAGACCGAGAGGCTTGTTTTCCCTCTCTGTTTATGACCCCCATGCTGATGTCTTGGACTTCCTCTGGCACTAACAGGAAACACAATTTACACATTTCCCTGCCTGTGGACACATGATCACACACATGCACACACACAGAATAAGTAAATCTACATCCACCGGCTGTCCAAAACATCACTAATGAGTGAAAGCTCCTCCCACAGAGTGGGTGTGAGGCCACGCCCTCTTTTGCCACACCCCTTTAATCAGCATCATTTGATTGACAGGCCAGGCCTCTGGATTAGTTTGAAAGTCGTGTTCTACTTTCTACTTGATTTCTGCATGTGCCCCGCCCCTTTAATAGACCCGCCTCTTGTGGTGCCCCGCCCATTCTCCTCCCATCTGATTGCGTAAGGAGAAAGGACTAGGTTAAAATGCAGACTGAACACACACACACGTCGATTAAAAACACAGAGTATGTAAAGTGGGGCAAGTAAGCGAGACATTTCTTTTTTTTCTGAAGCCAGTTGGTTGTTGGGGCGGTTAGCAGTGTTGCAGTCTCTAGCACAGCGGGCAGGAGATTCTGGGATGCAAGTGGTTGGATGAACGCTTTCGGCTGGATGAACGCTTTTCATTTGGTTCAGTTTTTTTCCGTGATGACACATGTCCGCTTCCGTAGGTTTGGATCAAATTGGTTGGTAGATCTGATTTTTATTTGGTTATTTTTTTGTGTCAGGATATCCAGGATTAGGTCCATAAAGTGCCCTGGGAAAAGAGACAAAGATGGAAAATAGGAGTTATTCTGAGTCTAAGGATGTCATGTTTGGTTTGTGTTTCTGGAGGTAGTTTAATTCAGCGGTGTAGGTTAGTGTTTCTCAACCATGTTCCTGAAAGGCCACCAGCTCTGCACATTTTCAATAGCTGCATCCAAAATCGTCTACTACTCAGTACGTACTGCATTTGAATTTGAATGTACTACTCGACTGTTAGAAAAGTTAGTTTTATACAGTATGAATGTGAGCAGTATTAATGGAACTTGGACGTACTACATCCGCCATTTTGTCATGATCACTTGTCCTACCCACATCAGTTGTGTCACTTCACTCCCATTTATAAATTTTTTCGCAGTGCATCTGTAGCGTGTATTTATTTCCCCAATTTCTGTTTAATGGAAAGATTTACTTTCAACCCATTTTAACATAGTAGTTTTGATAACTGATTTCTAATAACTGATTTATTTTATCTTTGCTATGATGACAGTGCATTATATTTTACTAGGTAATTTTCAAGATGCTAGTATTCAGCATAAAGTGACATTCAAAGGCTTAATTAGGGTAAATAGGCAAGTCATTGTTTAACAGTCATTTCTTCTGCAGACAATCAAAAATATATATAACTTAAGGGGGTAATAATATCGAGGTATTAAAAAATGTTTTAAAATACTTAAACCTGCTTTTATTCTAGCCGAAATAAAACAAATCAGCCTTTCTCCAGAAGAACAAATATTATAGGAAATACTGTGAAAAAATCCTCTGTTAAACATCATTTGGGAAATATTTATATATATAAAAAAAATAATTCACAGGAGGGCGAATAATTTTGACTTCAACTGATAATCGTTTGGAATTATCGCGATTATAATTATGACCAAAATAACCGTGATTATGATTTTCCCATAATCAAGCAGCCCTAAAAATAGTCTTAAGATACATTCTCCAAAAACTCCCTCAGAGGATTCCAGATATGCCAGAAATCATCAGATATCTGACCCAGTCATAATGTAAAACCGTTTAACTTGTATATGCACAAATTAACAAGTAATAACACTGTAATAATAATAATAACAATAATAAAATGATTTTTAAAGTGGCTTGAGCTCTAGGCCTTTGTTAACACATTTAATAATAAAGTATCAAGTGTGAAAATGTTGTTACTTCCTTTATAATGGCAGAAGTTCCTGTGACTATTCGGAGGGTTTAGGTGATAGTTTCACATTCACTATACATCTAAAAACACTCTTGAGAGAAGAAGTAAAGATGTGTTTATGATCAAATCTAGCAAAAAAACGTGATGCACATTTTAAACTGATTCACTGAATAATAAGTTAATATGCTGAAAATAAAGGCAGTCATTCCAAAACAAAACAATCAATTGAAACATCAGGTTATTAAAGGTATTATTTACTGAAAAAAAATCTGTCATCATTTACTCACCTTTGACTTATTCCAAACAAAAACAAAGATAAGAAAAAAGATATTTTGATGAAGATTAGAAACCTGAAACCACTGACTGACCCTAGGATTTATTTTTCCTGCAATGGATGTCAATGATTACAGGTTTTCCCAACATTTTTCAAAATATCTTCTTTTGTATTCAACAGAACAAAACAAAAATGGTTTGAAACAAGGGGAGGGTGTGTAAATGATTACATCTTTAAAATCTTTGTGTGAACTATGCCTTTAAACTATGTGTTTGCATGTAGGTCAATAATAATGTGGCTGTGTTCACCTTTCTCAGTGGTAGCAGAAGTAGATGATGGAGGTCAGTCTGAAGGATGTTCGGGGCAGGAGCGGTTGATCTCAAACCAGGAGTCTATACAGCTAATGAAAGAAAGATGCTAACAATGTCAGTTTGGAGTCCTTTTAAATGTAACTGATGTCAGAAATACAATATTTCCATTAGCATAATGCTTTTAAGCGATTCTATATACGGCTATTAAGACTTCCAGCATCAAATCATTTCTCTGTCCACGCTAAAAAGTGCAGAGATGGCAAGAAATAGCAAAGTCACCGCCAAAAGAATGTAGTTTATGTTTAATATACAGCTATGGTGCAAGAATAGATATACTTTATTCACCGGATATTTTTTGTTTTTAGGACAATAAGACATGGTTGTAAAAACATCATGCTGAGAGAAAACAAACGCAAGTAACACTATAATTGAATTAAAAATGCCGTAAAGCAGACTATTGATAGCGCTAAAGGAAATAACAGATATATGAACTTTATAAAAATGCATTTTAGTTCTCACACCACAACAAATCTACAAGTATTTAGAACTTTAGGAGTATTTAGGAATGAAACAAGCAAAAAATGACCCCTACTAAATCTAAAATAAAAACAGAATATCCTAATCAGGACTGTAATTTTACTGGAACAACGTTAAAGTATATAGAGCCGTTAAATGTCATGCCTAAATGCATTTATTCAAATTTTAAATGAAACTTGTGCGTATGAATGGGTCACGCAAGTGGCCTAGATGTCTAACTGGGTACAGCTGATAAGGGTAAAACCAAACCCATGCTCATATGAAAACATACCACAATACACATTTCTAGAGAGTGCCAAATACATCCCAGGAGGTATGTTTTTTTCACTTTTTGTTTTCACTGTGTAGCGCTGAGTACGCTTTTTGAGAAGTCAAATAACTCTCGCAAGTGCTATTCGTGCCTGCTGTTCTCATGTATATCCATTAGAGGCCGCTGTGTATGCTTTTTAAGAACTCAAATAACTCTCGCAAGTGCTATTCGTGCCTGCTGTTCTAGTGAAAATCCACCAGAGGCCGCTATGTATGCTTTTTAAGAACTCAAATAACTCTCGCGAGTGCTATTCACTCCTGCTATTTCCACGTAAATACTCCAGAGGCCGCTGTTTATGCTTTTTAAGAACTGAAATAACTCTTGTGAGTGCCATTCGAGCCTGCTGTTCTCACATAAATCCACCAGAGGCCACTGTTGACTGACTGACTGACCAACTGACCCACCCTCCTTCTTCCCGAAACCCAACCAATAGTGTTTTCAAAATCACAGATTGACCCACCCACCAACCTAAACTCAACCTTTTCCAAAAGTAATCCAGAAAAAGAGAAGCCCTCATCTGATTTTTACCACGATTTCAGATTTTACCACAATCTCACCCATTTATTTACTTGAATATTTTATTTTTTGGCTTTTGTTTTTGTCTTATACGCTTACTGAAACTTCTTCGTTCTTCGCCGAACACGAAACCCGTTGTCGTGGTCAACTCCTCTTTGCGTCTCAAGTCCGCGGATGAAGATGGCGAGCTACTGGTCAAACTGGTAAACAGCCGGAAAGCCGTCCATACAGAGGTAATTGGTCAGTTGGTAAGTGTGTAAAGAAACGATGTCATAATGTGCCGTAGTTTCGTTTTAAAGACGAAATGCAGCCATATGTACTTCTGGCTACATAATTTGTGATCTCCAGAAATGTATATAGGGCTACATTTTCAGAATGAGCCTATGTTGGCCAAAACCATTACAATTAACTTAGAAGTGATAGAGTTTATTGTCTGTCACTTTATTGCATCTTTCCTAGTGAGTGTAAAATTTGCTTGTGGCATATTTGTTTGATTATGTATCAGTGTGATGATATGAATACCAGCCAGCTAATCGGTTCACTTTTAAAGGTGTCTGCAATTTGAGACCTTACAGTTCAATTGCCAGAAGCCTCCTGCTGAGATGCCATATACAGACATGAGATGCCAATCACAGTGTTACATAATGACATAATTATATATAGGACATGACAAGGTTTGCGTTTCGTGTTCAGCACAGAAGGCAGTGGTTCGATTGAATGGCTTAAAGCTGAAACATTTCCTGTCCTGTTTAACATTAGAAGGTTTGCCATTGACACAGATGTTTTATCAAGATTATAGTGGTGTTAATAATGGTGTGTTGACAAATTGTAGGTCTGGAATTAAAAAACAAAATGATACGGCTGCTCCTGGTTCATATATAGTCCATTTTAGTGTTCATCAGTGTCCAAACTAAGGAGACAAAACAAAACTTCTACCAAACATCCAATCCAATGATGTGTCCTGAGCTAGTGAGTGCATGTGACATTATGTTGAACTCAATAACATGGGTATAGGTGTCAAAAAGGCATGAGAAAATCCTCCAACATACAAAAAAAAATCTGCTGAATGGAGACATTTCTGATACCCGCATTGAACTGTAATGGCCACCATCAAGTACTGAAAATAAATAAATAAATTGGATAAACCGGCTACAAATATTTGAGAAGCCGTGGGAAGAGACAGTATCTGTCCATTTGAAAGGCTTTTGTTGTGAATGCTTAGATGAGGTGACATTGTTTATACATTCAGTGTTTAGCTGACAGGAGACAACACTGTTGTGGGAAAACTACTCACCCTCAGGTAAAAGTTGATCGACTTCACATATTTATGACAATTGGAGTAAACATAAAACACTGTTTTTAAGCCCGTTCCCACCATTGAATAATCATAAAAAAAGAAAGATCATTGCGACTTTTTATCGTAGAATAGCGTGAGACAAACTCACAATTGTGTTTTTTTTCCTCAGTTCTGACTTTACAGTTGAAACCAGAAGTTTACATACACTGTATAAAAAGGCACATAATTTTACAAAAAGTCAGATGTTATTGTGACTAAACTTTTTTTTGTGTGTAAGTTAGGATAATCACATTTGTTTCTGTTATGCTTAATAGCAGAATAATGAGAGAGATAGTTTTTGAGAAATTGTTATAACTTTTCTTGAAAGTCAAGTTTACATACAATAAGATTATTACGCCTCAGATGATGGTGGCAAGGATTGGGAAGTTTCTGATTGGCTAATTGACAACATTTGAGTTGATTGGAGACACAACTGTAGAATAGTATTTAAGAAAAACCTCAAACACACTGCTACCTTGTGTGACAACATGGGAAAATCAATAAGCCAGAATCAACAAAAAAGCTAGATTACAACTTGCTTAATTACACTGAAAAAAGATTCATTTTTGGAGACATGCCCTGTGGTCTGATGGAACTAAGATTGAACTGTTTGGCCATAATGACCAGTGTTATATTTGGAGGACAAAGGGGAAAGCTTACAAGCCTAGGAACACCATCCCAACTATGAAGTATGGGGGCAGCAGCAAGAAGGACTGGTCCACTTCACAGCATAGATGCCATCATGAAGAAAGAACATTATGTAGAAATACTGAAGCAAGACATCAGCCAGGATATTAAGACTTGGCCACAAATGGGTCTTCCAAACAGACCATGACCCTAAGCATACTGCCAAACTAGTTAAAATGTGCTTTAAAGGCAACAGAGTGAATGTTTTGGAGTGGCCATCACAAAGCCCTGACACCAATCCTATAGAAAATTGGTGTGCAGAGTTGAAAAAAGCTCGTGTGAGCAAGACAGCCAACAAATCTGACTCAGTTACACCAGTTTTGTCTAGAGGAATGGGCCAAAAATCCTGCAAACAATTGTGAGACGCTTGTGGAAGGAGACCCAAAACATTTGACCAAAGTTATGCAGTTTAAAAGAAAAGCAAAAAATAAAAAAAATAATAATAATAAATACCAGGGAAATGTATGTAAACTTTTCACTGTCTAGAAATTAATTTTAAAAAATTTCAAAAAATAATTCTCTCATTATTCTGGCGTTAAGCAAATGTAAGTCATTAGGTAATCCTAACGGACCTAAAATAGTAAACGTTGAGTACGATTTACCATCAGACATTTTTTTTTTAAATGGTTATGTTCCTTTTTTTAGAGTGTTTGTAAACTCCTGGTTTCAACTGTATATTACATAATTGTGAATTTACTTATCAGAATTCTGACTTTTTATTGTGCAATTGCAACTTTATATATCGGAATTCTGACTTTATATCACAAAATTGCAACTTTATTCATCATAGTTCTGATTTTATAACTAAGAATTGTGACTTTTAATCTCAGAATTCAGACCTTATGTTACATTACTGCAACTTTATTCATCAGAATTCTGACTTTATAACCCATATTTGTGACTTTTTATCTCAGAGTTGTAATTTTAAATCACGCAATTGCGACTTTATTTATCAGATTGGAGTTAGTTAGTTTGGAAAATATTTGCAGTGGTCTTGGTCAACTTGTTTGACTTGGGTTTCAGCAATGTTCACAGTTATTCAAATCACAATTTATGCACCGAAAACCTCTATATCTTCCGCATCAGATCAGGTTGCAAATTTACTGAGCAATAGAATGCTTGCGTGTTGTGCTGCTGACTCTAATGACAATACATCATATTGCCCATAGTAAACATGCACATTGGCAATCTGACAAGGAATAGCAAACATTGGTAAACAAAGTAGTTTTTACAGTTTCTATATTGGCACACAAAAGTGTTTTATGAGCTTTGTATGATTACAGTTAAACCGCTTAAGTCACATGGAATGTTTTGATGATGTTTTTGGTTCAGTTTCTACACTTTGAACATCTTGTTGAATGCCTGTTGCTATTTATGGAGGATGAGAGAGCTCCCGGATTTCCTCTGAAAGATCTTAATTTGTGTTCTGAAGATAAACAAAGGTCTCAGGCGGTTAAAATGACATAAGTGTGAATGATTAATAACATATTTTTAATTTTTAGGTGATCTAACCCTTTAAAATATATTGAATATAGTGAACCAACCCTTTATTCAAATAAAATGCCTTTTGAAAAACTATAAACTGTGTTGTTGCTCACCTTTTGTGATAGATACAGAGGCACGGCAGTCTAGCAATGGTGTCTCCCTGCTGTAACTCCTCCAGACATATTACACATTCTCCTGCGTCTCTTGACAACACGTCATCTGTAACACACACGCACACACACACACAAAAAGATTCATAATGAGCATCTGAAATACACTGTTAATCAAAAATGTGGGTTTTATTCAGCGAAGATGAATTAAAGTTTGTGTGAAAACAACTTTACAATGTTTTTTTAATGCACAAATTGTTATTTTTGCTTATTTTTTAGATAGATAGATAGATAGATAGATAGATAGATAGATAAAACCGTTTCCTCAACAATTTCAAGCAGCAAAACTGTTTTCAACATTAATAATAGCAGCAAATTAGCAACATATTATATTCATTTCTAAAGCATCAAGCCATGAATTCGCATTGAATAACTATAATCACTACATTTTAAACCTGTTAATTTAAAAAAAGCAATCGTTTTCAATTGTAAGGAAAGAGATTTATATTTTTAAATGTAGATATTAATATATTTTGGTCTAAAATATAAGATTAGTATACTGTAAAAACTTCCTGGTTGCCTTAAATTTATAAGCTTAATCAAATTAACCTCAAGTCCATTCAACTTCTATTGTGTTAAACTGACTTGTGTAAACTTATAAAATTAAGTTAGAACATGATTAACTTAGTTTAAGTTATTAATGACCTAAAACATATGCTGTCAGGACTTACTGATCATATAATTTCTTTACAGTGTATTAGCATAATGATTTTAAATGTTAAACACATAAAGTTATTTAATTATGAGTGTCTTAAACAGATCTGTCATGGGTTTTTATAATTATTATTGTTATTATTTAGAAAACCTTATTCAAATATGGTTATAAATTCGTGAAAACATGAATAAATAAATATATTATATTTAAAAATATAAAAGTAGGCCTACTAATAGGTCCAAAAATATTCTCCAGCAAATGGTTTTAATTTCAAAACTCCTGTTTTATCATATTATAGGTCATTTTATGAAATCAAGCTTTAAACTGATTGTTATCTATACATTTTACAAAGCTTTAGTATCAACACGTCGAAATTTACGTTTATTTTCACCTCTGAATTGCGATGTTTTGCACTGCAGTTTCATAAAAGCATATCGTGTATTAGTCATTGGGCTTGTCTGCCAGCAGGAGGCAGAGGTGAGTAAAAGCACACCAAACACTCTGCTCCTCGCTTAACGTCACACACACACACACACACACACACACACTAGAAGGCGGTTGGTTGAGAGCGATTTTTTACAGTCATTGGTTTAGAGAGGTGGGTTGGTTTCCAGTAAACAAGCATAACAACTAGTGGTTAAAGACTCGTGGTTCACCATTGCTGGGTGTTTGTTTGTGATGAACGACGAAGTGTGAACTCATTTTCTGCTAATAGCTAAAGGGCAACAGCAACCAACACGATTTGACTTGCATGACCATACCTGCCAAATGACTCTAACACACACACACACACACACACACACACACACACACACACACACACACACACACACACACACACACACACACACACACACGTTCTCAGACTCAGCTTGCTTTAGTTTGTAGAATAAAAGTGTTCTTCATAGGAAATGTGCTAGAAAACGAAACAGGTCACTTCCTGTCCTGTAACGTGTCGTGCTCAGCTTTCCCTGGAAACACCTGTAGCACATTTGTGTGTGTGGGTGTATGAACTTGTACACCTATTTTTGTGAGGGATTTGCCATAAGAAAGCGCACCAAGAGAGTAAAGTAAGGACATTTTGGCTGCTCTTCACTTTTAAAGGGCTGTTTAAGCTTTAAGATTCAAGTTTAGAATTGGGTTAAGCTTATGGTTAAGATTATCATCCTCAAAAAACAAATAGCGTGTGTGAAGAGTGTTGTAAACACAGACAGAAGGTGACAGGATAATGAGGTTTGTGTGAATGCAGGATGTTTGAAAGTTAACCCGGTTTCCCAGCTTACTTCTGGAACACCTGTAACATCTGTCACAGGTATACTCTTGAGTGGTTAAACAGACGTTTTCTAGTGTGACCCATTTTCTGTTGAACACAAAACAAGTCATTTAAAAAAAAAAAGTAGAAACTTGTAAACACTGACTGAATCACACAGCCAAACTTATAAAATTATATATATATATATATATATATATATATATATATATATATATATATATATTAATAGTTTAACTAATACCAGTAATCGGTTAAGCACCCTTTCGGTTAATGGTTAATCGTTTATTACAAGCATTCCTAATTGCTAGTGAGTTTCATTTTAACTAGTTTAATTAGGTAATTTGAATAAGCAAGACAGGCTTTTACAACATATTAGCAGCAGCACTGAACGTGTTTCCAGAGTACCTCGGAAGAACAAACTCGTTTGAAAGACAGAGAACTCAGAAACTCTTTGTGAGAATGGAGATGTTGCTTATTTGAGCCAGTCTGTCAGATAATATTGCTTAAAACACTTTAATACTTTAGAGAATGTAGTTAAAGTTTGCATAACCAATTATTGATCATATCAACCTGAGACCCACCCATAAGTAAAGCTGCGCTCACACTAGAGTTTGAGCTCGCGAAATTCTGTTGTAAGGCGCTGCGAAAAGGGGCAGGATTAAACAAGATGATTAGACATTTAAAAAAGTGAGCGATTGGTCCATATTTTAAATTTCTGTACAGAGAGGTCATGTTTTAAACCTCGATTGTTCTCACGCAGTCAAGTGATGCGATTTCGCAGGTCAGAGTTCCCCAAGCTTGAACTTTGCAACATAGCAAACTGCGAAACATGTCGGACAAGCTTGCGTATTTGGTCTGAGGCCACCTTTTCACTGCACGCGACATTTGGGAATACGCCCCCTTGTGGCAATTACACAGAATTTTCAGTTTTGTCGTGCACTGCGGGAGAGAAGCTGTTCTCGAAGTGTCCAAAATAAAGGAGTATAAAAGCAAGAGCCTTTATCTCCCATGCGTTCATTGTGGTTGAATGAATGAATACTAGAAACTCATAGACCGCTAACAATTTTTGGAGGGAATGTGGAGACAACAACAACAACAAAAAATATTACTCATTTATAAATAGAAATGTTTTTTTTTATAATAGACATTTTCTGATTCCAAAAATAGTGAAACAAAAAAAAGTGCTATTTCTTAACTTATGCGCATGGACCTGCTTGGACAAAATTATGCCGGTCGCATACGCTCTAGTTGCAGGAGTTTAAAATTGGATCTGAATTTTCCGCAAAGGGAGCTGATTGGAACTCCACACAGCTCTTGGACTACTCTCCATTGGAAATGAAGGTCTTGCGGTCTGTTGCTTGTTGTTTGTTGCGTGCAGTGGAACGGAGGCTTGACGCATTCGCGTGCATATGAATGGAAGTGTACAGGGAGAAAAGTCCAGTGTGATCGCAGCTTTACTGAGAAATGATTTGCTCCTATTGTCCAGTGTCACCGACGTGATGGAACTCGTCATGAAGAACGAGAATAAAATTAAACATGCTAGACGTGTCGTGAGGTGTCCCTGACATGGTGTCGGTTGTCGTAAACTATGATACATTATACGAGAAGAAATGATTAAATCTTGTGTCACAACATCCAGTTGTCGTTTACGTCTGCCCATGACTCCCTACGTAAAGGAAATTGTGCTGAAATCGTGACAAAATCATGTGATCTGACCGGGTCTTTAGATTAAAAAACAAACACTATAGTCAATGGTTACAGGTTTTCAGCATTTTTCAAAACATCTTCTTTTGTCTTCAACAGAAGAAAGAAATTCAAACAGGTTTGGAACAAGTGAAGGGCGAATAAACGAGGACTGCATTTCCAGGTTTGGGTAAACTATCCCTTTAAGCAATAACTTAAAAGCTCTCAGTTCATTTGGAAAAAATACAATAGTATCTAAAAGGGATAATTCACCCCAAAATGAAAAAAAGTCATCCTTTACTTGATTCAAAACCTCATGAGTTTCTTCTGTTAAACACAAAATAGGCTATTTTGAAGAAGCTGTAACCATCAGCTTCCATAGTATTTGTTTTTACATGCAAGTCAATGGAAGTTTTCAACTTTCTTCAAAATATCTTCTAATTGTTACTACTTTAATGAGAGTAAATAAGTAAATTACATATTTTGGTGAACTCTCTCTTTAATTCTGATCTGTAGTTTTTTTGTTTTGTACTCATCAGTGTCTTTGGAATAAATCAGTTGTTTATTTTCCAGCCACCTGCACTGCTGAAGAGCATTTTGGAGCAGCTATGGCTAGAGAAGAGAAGATGAAGCATCAGTGTTTTGTGCACAGACAGCAGACGGGACAGCAGATAGATTGCAGTTTCAAGAGGATGTGATGGAGGGAGAGAGAACGACACGGGGTGGAGAAGAAGGAGAGGTGAGCTGGGAAAAACAAGAGATGATGGCAGGAATGAGCAGAGAACAGACGGCAGACATATGCTCCAAATACAAATCAGCTTAGCCGAGTCAGAGTAAAGGAGACCGCAGGCAGATTTCTTGCAAAGTTGGGCTAAAATGAAACTTATGTTAATTAGGAATTTACAGTGCATATACACTGCTGTTCAAGCCTGCATTCACTTGATTAAAAAACAAACAAGCGCTTTTTCATCCAATACATCTTTTAATTAAATTTAATTTATTCCAGTGTAGGAAAAGCAGATTTTTTAGCTTCACATGATGATTTGTTGCTCAATAAATGCTTATTATTATTATTATTATTATTATTATCAGTGTTAAAAAGTGGATTTGATCTTTTTAGTTTTAACTGAAATAGTTTTATAGGAGTTCAAAAGAACAGCATTATTTAACACTTTTACATTATAAATACCTTTATTTTTTATCAACTAAATGCATCCATTATGAATAAAAAATGTTAACAGACGCAAGATTTTTGATAGTAGTGTATGTTTGTTGATAACTAAACAGTTTATACATATTTTGCATTATATTTAGTAGACATAGTTAAAAATATAGTAAACTAATTTCATTAAAACAAGATATTTTAATTGAAATAATTTTGAAATTATATGAATTTTTTTTAAATGAAATGATTAGAATAAAATTTTTAAATGAAAAA